GCAGCGCCTCGCAAACTCGACATCTCACAGCCGGTCGCGGAGTTCAAGCGCCAATGCACTGACTGGCAACTGTACGACCCTGAACTCAACTCGCTGCGCACCATCCATACCCGAAAGTACGTAGTTCTCCGTCGCATTTTGCCGTCGCTAACCCTCCAGCTACGATCTTCCTCTCGATGTGTTTGAGCCCGGAGAGAAGCGCCCCGCGCGCGCGAAGAAGATGAAATCCGCTAAATCAGGAAAGGAGGTCCCCAAACTTGCTGCGTCGCGCAAGCGCCCACTGGAACCGGAGGTGCGTGATGCTCGTGATGCTCTCTTAGCTCCGAATGTGAGACGACTCCAATCGCATGGGGCAGGTCTCCGCTGCCGCACTGGGATCTCAACACCAGAGTAAGTGGCGATCGGTGTCCGCTGACACGCTGCGTAGGGCCCCGACATCAACGGCACGGCCAAGCGCCACCAGTCCGTTGCGTCCGTCACGGCCGTCGCCGCTACGCCTACCGCTACGCCCACCAGCTGATTCTCTACCCTCCAAAGTCTAGTCTGACTCGACTTTCTGGGCCGTCATGCGCGGTGGCGTTGTAGGACTCTGACGAGTAGGCTATTTAGGCGCGCGATAGCCGTCTTTTCGACATTTCGTTCACATGTACAGGTTCGTATTGCCGCCGTCACGGGCTTCCCATCCCTATTCGTGCCCTTCTCGCCGGGTCATTGGGCTCTGGGGAGGTTAATCGGTCGACGGAAGGCGCTGCAATAGCACCGCACAAGAGAAACCCGGCGACGCAAAAAGACCAAAAAAAGCAGAAAAACGAAGACAAAAGTGAACAAAAAAAGCTGATAACAGGGCTCATAGAGGTATCCCTAGTTGCTGGTAATGGGCGGCGTCTGGTTTGTAAATGGCTGCTTCTTACGGCGATGGGCGCACAATGGGGTGACGGTTTCGGTGGCAGGGTGGTGATCGGTCGGCTTATGTAGACTTAGACCAGTTGCTGAATGGATTACTTTTGGGATCTAAGGATCCCGCCCATTTGTAATATGATGTGGTGCTGTGGTGATGGTGGCAGTGAAGGTGGGGCGATGCGGTAGTAATGGCGATGCCTTCCTATATTAGGACACTCGAGGATGTAGTATTGTGGTCTGCACGGTGCTGGAGGCTGTAGAGCTAGATCTACAGTACAGTACTAGGAGAGCATCAGAAGGCAAAGTCCATGAGCGGAGGCAGCTGCGGACGAGTTGCACGTGGGAGGAGAGTCAAGATTACCGCAGTACTAGGCGACTTGGCCTTCGAACGTCCGATGTGCAACCAAACATGATCACCTCGCGTTAACGTCCTTTTCCACATTTACCACCCGAGAAGGTCCCTCATCATAGAATGAACGGTCAAGTGCATCTGAAGGTCCGCTGGACACAACCCTGACGTTAACGAGCAACGAGCGAGGGAGTAACCCGGGATGATGGAGTCCTGAATGGCGGTCGCGCAACGTACAGTCACCATGGAAGCTGCCTTCAACCCTGAACAACATGATTTGGCAGTACTATTGAGCTCAGAAAGGGATTGTTTGTTGTGTGAGTCCGATACGTCTCGCGGAGAACCGGCACGGAGCTGCCAGCGCGGTCGCTCTCCCGGTATATGAGGGCGACGGCATCGCACATTCATTCCAGAGTCTTTCTTGATCTCAAAGCGTGGAAGGTCTTTGGTCACAGCATGTCCCAGTTCGATCTCCCTCTCTTGTCAATGACTTATACGTTGTCCGATACCCGGAAGGGCATCCTCCTCGAACCCGAGCTGAGGAATCAAGAGGTGGTTGTCCGGCTCAAATCAGCCACCCCGGGCAGCTGAAACGATCAACTGTGCATCAACAAGTATGGTGAGGCGGAGAAGCAGAAATCAATTACAGTCATGGATGTTATCCCTGGATATGCGCGCCAGGCCGTTCTTTGCCTGAACATCTCATGATTTCATCAGAGAAATTTCATCTTTAAGGACGAGTGGTTCAAGTGGTGCAAAGAATCCCGCTCTTGGGGACAGTCACCGAATCATGGCTTCAAACGGGTAATGTCAACCCAGTTACTGTTCATCAAATTTCTGACATCTTGATAGTTCTTGAGGGTGTGGTGTTCCCACCAGTACCATTCTTCCGAGGAGTATCTCGCCAGCGTTTCCAGGCTGGACGTTGACAGTCCCGATGGGGTTTCGAATTCGCTTCTCGTTCCTCAGTCACATCGAGTTCTTCTCTTCATTTCTTGACTTTCCCTTCTCTTCTTTCCCTCCACCACGACCCGAGACGATGGAAACATGGCATAGGGCCATATCACGTATCCTTTCTGAGTCTTTATATACCAAGCTCAGAATCAAGTCGGGGGTCCTGGCAAAGTCAGTCCTTTCTTCTCCCCTCTTCCTAATTCACATTCATTCCCAAGGAGACGAAAATATATACTAAGTTGAAAGGCTTATGACAAATGAACAGGAGCTAAAGAGCTGCTTGCAGCCGCCCTCGGCAGCGGGCCAGAGTCGTTGCTCCGCTTTCAGCATGGTCCACGGCAGCCGGTCCCAAAGACAAGCGGGGCTCAACTCGGAATATCAAGTGCTACACGACACGAAGACAGAACTGAGCTTAGCTGTAACCTGGCTCTATTTCCGGATCTTGGAGTTCTATATAACGGTACGGATTATGGAGGGGCCATTGTCGAAGCTGTTCTCCGACTTTTTTCCTTAAAGACGAGATTACTCCCTGCTTGATGCCAAGTCTTGTGTGCTTCGATTGCAACCGCCCGTTATATTCTCGAGCTGACGCAACTGAACCCAGACGATTACTCGTAGAGAGAGCACTCGGTCTCTTGTTCTAGCGTACATGACTGAACCGCAGGTCCCCCGAAACGACGTCTCTATGTGGCGCGACCTATCAAACCACGGAAAGGACGCTGCGGCGGCCTATGGATGAGATGCACATATATTGTCATGATCTCGATGAGGATAGAAAGTTGATACTATTGATAGAGCTTGCGATTATCGAGACCTGTTCGTACCACATGCACGGGTAGGCGCCAGATGGGAAGGCTGTTGTGGAAGAGATGAGGACTGATAAATCAAAATTCTTGCCGCCCCTCTCGACGCTACACTCACTCAGTTTCAATTAACTAGCAGTGCCTCCGCCTTTGACCAACCTTGATGAAAGCAAAAGTCTTAGAGCAACCGAAGGTGACGGGGCACGTGCTCTTCCGTGTGCCAAGCCACCAGCCTTGCGTGCCTTGCACACATTCACCGGCCTCGCGCACGGTCCCCGGCCTCGAGAAGCAGCAAAACGGTCATCGATGTCATGAACACTTCGTCTCCAGCACTCACCACCTACCCTCACCGACTCTATCCCTGCGCCTTGTCGAGGCCTCGCACCATATCGAGTATCACAATTCACTCTGCTGGAAGACATGTCGGATTTTACCCACAAAGATTTTAAATGCACCATCTTGGTGTAGTGGCTTCTGTTAAACCCTGAACGCTTGAATGCCGAGCACGAGGCTGCGTTCGGTGAACCGAATGATAACGAGTATGGTGGCCCGGGGTGCTCGATCATCCCTCCTCCGTACCGCCCGACGCCCGAGTTCAACCGTAAGTGACCTTCACTACTAGTATGGCAAGACTGGTCTGGGCAGTAGGCTTAATGTTCGAAACTTGCGACACCGTACAGCAAACGATGGCGAAGATGCTGAAGCGGGCAATGGATCCTCTCGACGAGCGGGGTCGCGGGTCCAGTATGCTCTTTGAGACCTGGTACCGTGTCCTAGCGCAGATCATCCGCCCGCGTCGTAGCAACCTGGTTATGTTAGACCATCATCGTGGCCATATCACCGTGTCGATTCCAGACCGGGACTGTTCGGCCCCCTCCCAGGTCGATGGATATATAACTGGGCGCGCTGGGGAAAACGAAATGATCGCCTACTCAATAGTCGTACGTTCTCCCTACCATGTGCTCCTAGCTAACGGTTCCAGATTAAGGGGGGCGAAGTGTGCGACTGGTATATACACTGGATAATGCTACCGAGGTTGGTGGCGCTTGCGCTCAAAAGGTACACCGACGATCCTGATGCTCAGTCGTACCGGGTCTACTGCGTACATCTGTGGAGTACTCTCTTCCATGTGAGCGTGATGGAGGTTACTCGTGATGTCGTGCTGAAGATTTGCACCTTGACGGAACTCCCTGAGGAGTCTTTCACGATGCACATCCATCCCCAGCTCGAACTCACCAAAGCGGAGGATTTCCGGCGAGCTAGCAGCATGTTAGCCGGCTTGATATACTACGTCGAGGGTCAGCGGGCCAACTAGTAGCGGCTATGGTCGATGTAAAGTTGAGGTATGGATGAGTGCAGTTCTCGCGGTGCCTCATCATCAACTGTGTACCTTAGCTCGAAGGTCCAATGGAAGAGATTTACATAAGTCCTTGTAGATAATCCAAACGTATCCTCACACTTAGATGTGCTGTTGGTGCCGGTTGTGAACTGGTGAGGATGCATCTAATGTAGAGTCGTCTCGTCATTCCCCGCGCTAGGCAGTGATGCATGACGCTAGCGGTAGGGCTGAAGTGCACTTGAACGCCGGGTGGCTAGCAGGATGCCAGTAGGAGCGCCGAATGAGCTTCACTTCACTTCCATTACACAGATCACGTCAGACTTTGGCGAGTCCAGGCTGCATTTCAAGAAGCTGGAAGGCGTTAGGTTGGCTGCAGAGCTCAATTTCGCAAGCCCACCGGTCTACTTGACCGTTCAATGATATCACCTCATCCCTCCTCGCACAAAGTTGCGCAGCAGATAACGCGAACGAAGCTTACAGCAGTGTACAACCTCACAATACATCCCGTACGCCAAAGCATTTTATCAATCTTGTAGTCAAGCTGCCCTCGGACCACGTCGAGCCGTCGTCTCCCCCCACCGAACGCCAGCCTTGAAAGCCCAGCGGCTCCACTTCACAAGGCGAATCCCACCTCCCGAAATTGCCGCATCAAACCTTCGTTATGGTCTAGTGGTTAGGATCACCCGCTCTCATCACCAGAGCTTGCCATTGCTGCACCGGGTAGGCCCGGGTTCCATTCCCGGTAACGGAAGCGAGTGAAGCTGTTCTTTTTGGCCGCTGCTCTTTTTGGCCCGAGAAGATATCTGAGGGCGGAGAGGTTAGAGGAAAAGGGACGGAGAAGAGAAACAGCATTCAATTTTGTTATCACGCTCAGCTCAGATCCGCTACCCCCCGTGCTAATTTAGTCAAGCTCTCCCTTGCGAACACAACGAATCCCAAAACACCAACCGGAAAGGTGAACATCGAAAAGAACGAACTGCGCACAAAACCATCATCAAGTACCAGGTTAATAGAACTCCTCGTGGATCCAACGAACGTGAAAACACGAACCAGAAATGCCGACATAAAAAAAGCTGTACTCAAAATCATCGTCAAGTACCAGAACAGTGGCCGCTCCCACACTATGCATCGCAGTCGAAGCCCGACGGAACTTGCATCCACATCGGGTCGCATACCAGTTGCGGCCCGCAAGCCGGACAATGGGTGAATTGTCGAATGGGGTACAGCCTTGGAGGCAGCTCAAGCTTATCCTGAGGACTGTGATTGAATGGGCGAGAATCAACTTCGATGAGATTCCGCCCGACATTGGGATCCTCAGGTGTGTAAATCTCGAAGCCCGTATTGTGCAACCATTTTGAGTATACTAAGTCACGAACTTGCCGTTCGCAATCTCCAACAGCGAGCATGGTCGTCGTCTCAGGTTGATTCTGGCGGCTGTTAGATAATGTCAGCCATGGATCAGTTTCGTTGGAATTCGACCCGAGATTGGGGTCCTCAAGTGTGGGAATCTCGAAGTCCGTATTGCGCAACCATTCTGAGAATAGTGAGTCATCAACTTGCTGTCCATAGTCTTCAGTAGCGAGCATGGTCGTTGGCTCCGGTTGATTCTGGCGGCTGTTAGATAATGTCAGCCATGGATCAGCTTCGTTGGAATTCGACCCGAGATTGGGGTCCTCAAGTGTGGGAATCTCGAAGTCCATGTTGTGCAGCCATTCTGAGAATAGTGGATCACCAACTTGCTGTCTATAGTCTCCAGCAGCGAGCATGGTCGTCGACTCCGGTTGATTCTGGCGGCTGTTAGATGATGTCAGCCATGGATCAGCTTCGTCGACGTCCCCCCGGAAATAGGGGTCCGCAGATGCTGGGGGAAGGTCCATGTTCGATGAGGATTGTGAAAATGGTGATTCCTCGAACAGTATTTCCTCATCTTCAGCAGCGAGAATGTCTTCTGGCGTTGAGGAGAGAGTGAGACTATCGGCCCTTGGATCGTTTACGGGGGTCGTGGGCGTTTTATACCAATTTCCCCCACTTCCGCACAGAAAATACGCGAGGCCAGCGACACAACGTCGCATCAACTTTTGATCAATTTGCGGGACGACATTGCATCGCTGGCCTATATGCAATGCCTGACATATAAGCCCAGTCAGGGTGGTCGAGTCGCAAAGGCTTGGTTTGTGCTGAAGTATGTTAGTTTGAGGATCCCCGATCAACATGTAGCGGGTACCTGGGACTGGCGCATATTCATCGCATAGGCAGTGGCTGAATAGACAAGGAGATGAAAGACATCCTGGAGCTGGGTATGGCTCAGCTTGGCCAGCTGCCTGGGCATGAGCATCTTCTCCAGTCTCCGAAGCAGATGCATGCACGAGCCGACTGGAGTGATGACATTGAAGTATGTCGAATAGACTGGTTTGGAGCCACATGATTCGAGCCCCGGCCTGGATATTAGCTCCGCAGCATCATCAGGAATCTCGTCCCAAGGAATTTCAGAAATCCAATAAGCCTCACGGGAATAGCCGCTGCTTGAGCATAGTCCCCAAAAAGTGGAAAGCAGATCGTTCAAATTTATAGAACTGAATTCCTCCAGCTTGAAGAAAGGGATTAGCATGGATGCATCGACCGAGATGTTGAGCTCCGATACATGCATGCTCCATCGAAGCAGGAAGTCTACATTCGTTAATTAGCATTAGCTGGGATGACAGAATACATACGTTCGAAATGCTCCGTGAGATTCAAGCGATAGCAGGGCATCCAGCTCAAACACGTCGCGTTGTTCTTAAGGGCGGCAAGTTCCAAGCACGGGATGCAAGGGTCGCCACCCGAGCACTATTCCAGTCATTAGTACCATTGTGTGCAGGTGGTTGAGCAACTTACAGGCTTTCGCAGCCATGCACACCGCATGCAGGCTCCAAGATCACGGACTTCCTTCACCTGTTGCTTGCGCTCCACCGATAACGGCGCACGCGAGGGACCCGGCGCATTAGGATTGGCCCTGAAGCAAATAATGTTTGATTGCGGCAGGTCGCGTACTCGCGGAGCCTTGCGGCGGGCGACTTGCTGGCCGTCATCGGTAGCCTTGCGCTTGCCTTTGCGGTCTGGCATGTCGTCGGTGGCCTTGCGCTTGCCATTGCGGCCTGGCATTGTGGAGCGGAAGAGATAAATAGAAGCTCTGGACAACTGCAAGACAGGAGGAACTATGCGGGAGAAAGAGAGAGAAGTGCTGGACAAGTGTATAGAGCAGGAGTTGCTACGTGAAGGGTGAGAGGGTTTTGTACTGCTGGCTTCACCATCCACGCAGCCGCGCGCTGATGCATGCCGGAATCAAGACTTCCGGTAAAGTCGTGCCCAATCTCGTCCGCAGAAAGGCTAAGTAAGGCGGCCAGAACTTTCCTGAGTCGCTCTCGGGACCATTGGATTGTCAGTAAGGCTGCCGTCTTGCAGCGCCGTGATTCCACATTAGGCCTAGTGTCTTTGCTGTAAGGTGCAAAGCCCAGATGCTGGCCTGGAAGCATTTCTACTTTCGGCACAGCAGCAATACAGAGGGCTGGGGGTCGTGCATCCAATCGTTGGCCTAGGGCGCGTTGGCCTAGGGCGTATTGCCTGACGCCAGGTGCGGTACGCCAACTGCCGTACTACGTAGGGACTGCCCGCAGCCATAGATGGCTTGGCGCATCTCAGGTGTAGAAGTGTGTGTCAGAGGCGTCGGTACGATCGATGTTTCAGTAACGACCGTCATCGCCGTCAAGGCTTCTGGGGAGCAGAAGAGCGGAACTCTGGGGTGAGATGGGCGAGCGCAACTTCCAAAGTGACAACTATTTGTGTCGGATGCCTTTCTTCGTCAATAACCGTACACCACAGCCGTTAGACTCACAATTTGCCAGAGGTGTCTTTGGCATCATTGAGTGCCTCTTCTCAAAGGCTGTTCTCGCCAACGCTGGAGTTGAGCCCAAGTTGATGGGCAAAGGTGAGGTTGAATTCCGGGAACCGTCTCCCATCCCCTCACCGGTCTCGCTGGCCTCCGAGCTTGCAGTGGCCTGTAGACGCACTGCCCCCCATCAAATGGCAACGAACGATCCTACTATCAGTCGGCAGCATCCGAGCCCAAGACGCACGAACCGCAGGCCTTTAAGAAAGCTATGTTTAATAATTCCTAGCCGAACATCAGGGTATTACCACTACAAAGACACAACCCCAACTCCCCAAGCAACAGACCTAGTTCTAGTATGCCCTTCCCCTCCCCCGTCCCCTCGGCGAGAACCCCGCCCCCATACTCCCAGGCGGGACCTCCCCCCTCCTCCACTCACCAGACGGCACACTCCCCCTCGGCGCCTCATACCGGCCGCGTCCCCTCCCAAACCCCCCCCCAAACCCATTCTCGCGCACGGGGCCAGGCCCACGCGGGAACTCCGGCGACCGGAGACCACGCGGCCCCGGCGGCGCGGCTACATCCCCGTTCGGCAGCGGGGGGAACACGGCGCAGCTGACGTAGTCGCCAATGACGAAGCGCGCGTCTCCCAGCGTCTTGTCTGCGTCGCCTTCGAGCCGGTCCGCGGGGCGTGCGTCGTCTTCATCGTTCCGGAGGTCGACGCCCGGTCCGCCTGCGCCGATGACCACGCTGCCGAGGTCTTTGCTTGTGAAGCGTCCTGGCCCTTGGCGCTGGGGGTCGCGGATGTCGGGGAAGATGAGGCGGAAGGAGAGGCGCGTGCCGATGGCGGGGGAGGGGAGGAGCGAGGGCAGCGCGGTGGTGAGGAGGTGAGTCAGTTCGCGTAGCGTGCAGCTGGTCCACGTGTAGATTTGGACATGTTGTGGGGCGGGCTGGTTCGGTGCGAACTCTTCGAGCCTGCGGTGGTTAGGAACGTGATGGCAGTAGTTGATGGACAAACTGACCGATGGAATGCTCCGGTGCGATAGAACAGCTTGAGCAGGAAAGGCGTTGTTGTCGTACGATCGACTTTTTGCGCCATTGTGATCTAGAGTCCCGATTTCATGGGTGGTGGGGGTATGTGATGTTGATTGTTGTCGTTTGCGCGACGGAAGCTTGAGGCTCGGGGGCGTCGCCGATTCGCAGTCTTGGCATCGGGCGGTGACGTCCCCCGCACGCGTCTACATCTCAGGCGGTACCTGACTCCTCCCATCTCACCTCCCAGCAACCGCCGCCATGGACTTCGCCTCATTAATGAAGAGCAAGATATCCAAAGCCAAAGACGAAACGCCCCCCACCCAGCAAAAATACCTAAAACGCTCCGAAATCGAAGCCCAGCGCGAAGCCGCCTACCTCGCCGAGCAACAAGCCCGCGAAGCAGCCCGCGTCGCCAAACTCGAGCGCAAGCGGAAATTCGAAGATGAAGAAGCGGTACGCAACCGCGAGCGCGAGGAAAAGCGCCAGCGGCTAGCAGAGGAATCCCGGCGCCGTCGCGAAGAGGAAGAAGAAGCCGTCGAGCGCGCGCGTCGCAAGCGCCTCGGGCTCCCGGACCTGCCGCCGAAACGGGAAGGCACGCCGCTGCCGGAGGGTGAGGAGGACATCGAGGATGCAGAGCTGGTAACGCAGCTGCGGGTGTTGGGCGAGCCGGCGCGCTTGTTCGGCGAAAGCCATATGCAGCGCCTGAGGCGGTTCCGGCGGCTCACGAACCGGGAGCCTACGCCTGTGTTTACGGATGGGCCGATCCCGACGACGCTGGTGCTTGTTCCGGAGGCGGAGATGAAGGTGCCGAAGAAGGCGCCTAAGGATGCGGAGGGGCGACAGCTTGTCTTCCGGCAGATTGCGTCGTATTTCACTATGGTGTTGCGCGCGTGGGAGATTGCTATGGCACAGCGGCCGGACGATGTCAAGGCTAGCTATCAGGGCAAGGCGGCGTACGCTGCTATGGTGCAGGCACGAGAGAACCTGAAGCCGCTGTTCAGGAAGCTAGAAAAGGGAGATCTGGACGACGCGATTTTAGCGGCGGTGGTTGAGATTGTGAATGCGGCGCAGGAGCGACGCTACGTGCACGCGAATGACGGATATCTACGGCTGAGCATTGGAAAAGCGCAAGTCTGCCCTTATGCTCGTGGGCCTTTGCTAACGAACACAGTGCCTGGCCGATTGGTGTCACGATGGTGGGCATTCACGAGCGGTCGGCGCGGGAGAAACTTCATGAGAATGACAAGGGTACGGCGCATATTATGAGCGACGAGAATACGCGGAAGTACTTGCAGAGCATCAAGCGGTGCCTGAGCTTTGCGCAGACCCGGTGGCCTCCAGACGACCTACTGCAGCTGATGGGGTAGAGGTAGTATGCATCTTAGTTCTAGGGTAGTGAACATAGCTGCTCGGGTGATCTGTGAACTCTCTGCAGTGTCATGGGCACCCAAACGATATGCATTCTCTCAGAAGGCAGATGGCGGTTTGAAGAGCTTCACCTTTTGCGTAATGGTCATCATATTGAATATGGAAAGCAATTTGGCCAAAACCAATCACAGCCTCTATGGCGCAGTGGCAACGCGTCGCACTTGTATGTCGAGCAATGCGAAGATCGAGAGTTCAATTCTCTCTGGAGGCATCTTTTTGCTCTTTTGCGACGCTGGTACTTCTTTGTTTTCAGGCCTTCGATGCGTGCCACATACACGGGCAAGTGGTGAACGGAGATGTGATGTCGTCTCATGAAGAGCATTGCGTTGATCGCGAAGTCACGAGTTGGCCGAAGAGCGTTTGAATTTGCGAGGCTTTGCTTTTTGATCTTCGTTTTTGATACGCTCACGATGGTAGATTGAAGGACAAATTGAACGCTGGATTTGAAGATGTCTGGCTCTTTCTGGGATATTTTTTTTTTTGGCACAGTGTGTGGTGAAAATCGCTTCGTGATGATAGCGGGCATTCCGGAGCCCAGGATATCGAACACCAGATAAGTGGCACACCATGGGGCCAAATCACAGCCACGTCTGCCAGAACGGAGTACGTAGTACGGAATGGCCGTTGGATCGTGTTTTGAAAGACATTTCGCTATTCTATGCTTGCAAGTGCATGCGAAAAAGACGCAGACAATGAACCGCCGTCAAGAATCGTCATGTATCCCGATCATCGACTCTTTCCTCCATACCCAGAACACCATTGCTTCTCCCCGGTGCGGTCAAATACACTCAGCCTAACCTTACGCTGTAACCCGCCCCCCCACCTCAATCAACGCATTCATATCACCCACCCTCCCAGACCTCAGCGCAACATCAAGCGGTGTGTCTCCCTCGCGATCTCTCATACCCGTTGCCGCACCCGCTCGCATCAGCAAGCCAACCACATCCCGCCCAACCGCACTCCCAGTGCTCCCAACACTCGTGCGGCTAGACCGGCGACTTCCACCCTCACTCCCGCCAAACGAGTAGCTGAACCGTAACCGGCCCAACCCCTCATCTACCTCTTCTTCCTCCGCCGCCTCAACCGCATAGTGCAGCGCCGTCCGTCCCTTGCGGTCGACAACATCCGTACGCGCCCCCATGCCCAGCAGAATGCCCACAACGCGCCCACGCCCCGCCATCGAAGCATGATGCAGCGCCGTTCGTCCATCACCGTCAACACCGTCCACCTCCGCCCCGTGCAGAACCAGGTTCTTCACGGCCGCGACGTGTCCTCCCGCCGCTGCTGCATGCAGCGGGGCGGTCCCGCCCGACTTCCGCTTTGCCGAGGCTCCTGCGCTGAGCAGCCGGCCAATGAGCGGCGCATCACCAGCGGAAGCCGCAGCGAGGAGCGCATCGGGGAGAGAGGGCGTGCGGCGGTGGAGGATGCGGCGCGGCGGAGGGGACGCAAGGCGTGGCGGTGAGGTGGTGCTTGAGAGGCGGAAGACGGGAAGTGGGTGCGCAGCGAGGGTGGAATCGGTTGAGGAGCGCCGGTCTTCAGAGCGCCGGTTATCGGAGTAGGACAGCTCGACGGGGAACTTTGATTGTCTGAGAATGGGAGAGGTGGGGTCATGAAAGGAGAAGCGCGCGGCTAGCGCGGGGTCGCTGGCGTCGGTGTATTCGTAGTAGGCGGGCCCATTGGCGACATAGACTGAGAAGGACGGGTCTGTTTTGCGCCGCACAGAGCGGTGGAATGTGATTTTGCGCCTGAGAGCGGGGAATTTCGCCATTGTGCAAAGTATGATAGAGACGAAGGGAGATAGGAGAAAGTCTGATGCGCGAGAAGCAAGAGGGAGATTGGGCGCACAATATAAACAAGACGGGCCAGTGCTGAGCTGCAGTTCACGACTCAGACGCCACACGCCGCGCCTCTGGCGTTTTATATGCACGTATACCCCACCACAGGCGCCTGCATGATCGTCCCCGCACAAGTCCAGCAAACTCGCGCAGCACAGGCAGCGATAAGCTAGCGCGGCCAGTCAGAGCGCTGCCAGCGGCCAGCCAACGCCAGTCCACATGCACCACATCAGGAACGAGGCCCAAAGACAAGCTCAACTCGCGCTGGGAATCCTATCCACAACCCATACCACCAGACTCCAATCCCGCCACCCCGTGACGCCATTAATAATGTGCACAGAGCCGTCCGCGCGCTCAGTGCGATTCCCGCCCGCCCGTCGCTGGCAAACGAGGGATGTGCGCCGGGGACTCCTGTCCGGTTGCAGGACCGAGAATGCGAGCAAGGTGGCAGGCGCCGGGGGGGGTGTTGCGGCTGGAGGAGAACCTAGGTGGAAATCCTTGGGGGCGGGCCTGCTCAGCGAGCTTGCGAGCGACCGCCGCAGGTCGGAGCTTTGGGGGGCACAGCAGCACGACACGCAGGAGCTAGGCATGTCGCGGGGAGGGAATAATACGACGGGATTGACGCTCTTGGCCCCCGGGGCAGAGCGCTCCCTGCGGCGCTCCTGGAACTCCTACGACGCGAGTGCACGTGTGGCCGACCTGCCGGATTGGGATGGCCCATCCGTGGTGAGCGGGTAGGCGGCTGGGGGCGCGAGTCGCCATAACGGCACGGAGACGGAAGGCTTGGACGGGCAGCTCAAGGAGTCGTGATGTAATCGAATCTCTGAGACCTTGGATGCAAGGCCAGGTGATCTGAGGCAACTCATACTATCCCCAGGGGTTCTCCACGCTGCTCCAGTAATTGGCGGTGATCGGTTGCACGGGGCAGGGCGCGAGCCCTAAGCAATATATATCGAGCAGTGGCTGCGCCACGCTTCTTAGAATACATGTGCCCACAGACCCCACGGCACAGACTTCGCGGGAGGATCATGGATCGAACGGCAGCCGAAAATGGAGGCGGCTCACGTCCGCATCAGCTGGCTCCTTCGTCTGTTTTCCTCGAGCCAGGAATTGAGACGACCCAGGTTTTCGGGGAGCTGCAGCTCGGGGGAAAGGACATCGTTATCCCCAAATGACCGCATCACCACGCGTCTTGACAAGGCGCGCGATGGTGGATCGGGGTACACTGACGATGCAGCGTTGCTTCGCGGATCTTGCGACGAAGGCGGGGACGGCATCTCAGGGACAGTTGGAAGCGGGTACGTGCCGAAGGAGTACGGTAGCGTGGAGTCGGGTGGCGGCGAGGAGTTAGGCAGTGGTGACGAGTCCTGAAACTGACGAGGCAGCAGCGGAGGACCGATCCTCGACGTCGGGGACATGCCGACTTCGGATGGTGTGAGGTCGGAGTAGCGCGCCTGCCTTCTGCGTCGCCTCTTGTAGACGGCGAAGCAGATGAGACCGATGACGATGAGGAGGAATGTGCCAATCCCGACGGCGGCGCCAATGAGTGCGCGGTCCGGGTCGGTGGCAGCCGAGCCTTTTGTATCTCCAAGGCCAGGGGCAGAGGTTGCAGTGGCAGGAACCGCGCTGCTCGATGTACTTGTATCCAAAACTGTGGTAGAGGTAGACTCAGGTGATGCTGTACTCGATCTTGTGTCCGATTCTGTGCGGGTTCTTCCATGAGACTCTGTATGCGATCTTGTGTGCGATCTCGAGTTTGGTGTACTTTCGGTTGATGTTGGCTCAGGTATCTTCGTCGTTCCACCTGTCACACTTGCCGCACTTTCGACACCCGTGAGCGTAATGACAGGGACACCTGAGTTCACAGTCGCTGGTGCAATGGAAAAGTAGAGCGTCAGAGTGGGCTGCCCGGCCGACATGACGATGTTTGCCCGTCCGCTCCGAATGGGATCGGGAAGCCGAGTTTTTTGGGGAGGGCGAGAAATAGTACTTGTGGAGAGAGCAGCTTCGCATGTCGGGGATCGAATCAGTGCTCCAGCGATGGACCACGCGAGGACAAGGATGGCGACGAGACGGGTGCAGCCCATATATTGATGATTTGCAACTAGCGGGCGTGGTGAGGCAGGGCTTGGGGAGCATGACAACCGCACCGTCCATGAGAAGCCAAACGAGGGCCGAGCAATGGGCATGAGATGACGTCCGGCGCCAACGAAAGCTTTTCCGACGGCACTTCCAAGCCGGCGAGACCATTGGCAACTTAATATGCTTTTGATTTCGTCTTTTCTTGCCGTACGGGCACAGAAAGGGGGAAGTTAGATGTGTGTAGCGGGGCCGGTTCAGTTGGGCGGAGACAGGCCTCTGAAACCCAGCCTCGCCGGGAGTGCCGGAGGGGTTGAACATGGCGTTGTATGGGCCGGGATGGGACGGTGTTTGGGCGAGTGATACATTGGATGTCAGAATAGCAGTAGCACTTTCACCGTCAGCCTATATTGATACGAGAAAATGGCCCTGAGCGGGTGTTCGGTTTTTCAATTGGGCTCTGCCTAGTCTTTGCCCGGACTTTGCCTTCACTCTGTGCTTTTGGTTTAGGGTTCGGAGAGCACCGAATCGCTAAGGTTAGAGCCGCGGGAAAATCGAAATCACAAATACAGTGCGCAACCGAGTGAAGGGACAAGCATAACTGGGTGATAAAGACATCAAATATTGACATTTGATAATGGATATTGACGAAGGAGATTCACGGAGAGTGAAGGTTGAGGTCATGTTGGAGGTTGGGACAATGGTCCAGGCTTGGAACAAAGTTCAGCCGAGAGTGATGCTTGCAACCACTTCATCTCTCTACCGTTCCAGTCTCACCTCCGTCATCATCCACACCATACCTCCGTATGTCCTGTCTGACGTTTCATCCGCAAGTCCTCTAGCGTACCCATCCGCCTGTATCGTAAACGGGAGCGCAACCTCAATCCGGGTATCTGGCACCGTTTCCGCGGGGACGATCCGTCGCCCTGGCGTCTATGAGACACGGTTGAGATGACTGACATGCGCTGTCTAACCGTTTGACGGGTAGGCAATTTGCCATGCCTGAAAGAGGCGAATTGGAGTGCGGCGAACCGCTTAAGCATTGCACTTGGCTCTTAGACTGCGTACGTGAAGCTTGCGCCTTCGGCATCGAGAGAACGGAATGGAGATGACGATGCAGCCATCTTCAGCGGTTGGAGAAACGGTCTACGGCCCAGAGAAGTTACCTATAAGAGCTCTCGACATTGCCGTGCGCACAACCTAGCAGCGTCAGCAGTTATTACATTTCACAATATACAGGTCACAGGTCATTGCAGTCAAAAGGAATTTCGGTAAAGACTGACATTTTTTATCGAAG